ACCCCATAACCATACATAAAATTGCTGGGCATGAAACATCTAATATAGCTATGCTACAAGGATTGGCCTTGGGGTCTGACATATTCCCTTGATCTCATTTGGAGAATAGTTTGCCATGATTGCTTAGGTATCCAGGTGAGCGATACAGGCCCTCTGGGCCTCTTGTTTTGATAGCCCCGCCTTCTAATGCCATGTGACTAAAATCTCGCCGGCCTACGTCATAACGTTGGGAAATACCTTCGGTAACTCGAGATCTCGTCAAGTCATGAGACATTGCTCATGCCCTAATTTCCATTGAAAACATGGGTTGGTATAGAAAACGTTGGAAAATACTGTTCGTAATGATCTTTGAAACATGTTATTGATACCACCTAGTGCATAAAGAATAGATCTTTCGATCCATGTGCGACATGTGTGTGAAAGTGACGATTTGTTTCCAAAATATCAGTTTGAAGTGCGCTCCGGGCGCGGGGCGCATATTTCACGAATATTATAGAGGGCCGTAGTTCGACGTTAATCGACGACAGACCGATATGAAAAAAGTTGATAAAACGTCAGAATATTCGGACTATGCTGTGTTCTATTTTGCTGATTAATTACTGTTGAACAGTCAGGGTGTGTGTTTATGTGAAGTGGCAGGTTTGATTGTGATGTGTTGCGTGAAACATGCTGCGATTAAAATGTTAAAACAAGCATTACATTGATCAGTCCACACTCGACTAGTGATGAAAACTCTTTATCAGGGCACTGAAGTTTTAATAGATATATTAAAAGTACTGATGCTATTTTGATGAAAATAAAAATATTTTTTTATTAGGTCACCTGAGNGATATAACTCAGGTGACCGCTAAGGCCCTTGGGCCTCTTGTATAATTTTTTGGGGTATTCTGGAAATATGTCCTGGAACCTAACACCTTTTTGGTATGTAATATCACAGACTTAGATACCAATCTAATCTAATTCCGTGGTAATGTGTTTTATTTATTTTTCATTTTTGCATTTTTCATTTTTAAGTTTGTTAATTTATAATGATGCTTTCCTGTTTACCGAGACATCTGTTCCATTTAATTGTTCCTTTAAAGTAATTTGAAAAGTAATAATTGACTTACCCCCAGGTATTCCATTTCTTCCTTCTGTCAAAGTGAAATCACTATGGTCTCTTGCCAAAAACAAAAATTTCCTTTTCAAGTAATTCAGAATCATGTAATTAGCAAAATTCATTCCTGTTTTTTTTTTTTTTGAGGCACTATTACATGTATATGCAAAGTGTTGTCAAGAAATAAATTATAGTGGTTTTTTCCAAGGCATAACAATTTTTCCATGCTAATAAAATTTAGATTTTTTTTTTCAAAAAGGTAATAGAACCTAAATTTAATACGAGTGTCCACAGAGTGAGTTTTCTGTTCAAATTTTCAGGATTTTATGGTAAATACGATATTGCTATGTCCGTCCGTGTGTCCCTATATCTGTCTGTATGTCTGTACATTGATGATAGAGATTTGTTAGTACTTTATTTTGTATCATGTTGTTTTTCGTGGAGTTTTAAGTTTAATTATACCATATGACTTGCTGTTGTTAATACGATCCTTGCTATGCATGTTTGTTTATTAAATGTTTACTAAGATTTTTGTACCTGGGATATATTTCAGAAGTCATGAGATAATAAATGCAGTAAAGGTAAAATCTCTGTCAATAGAACCCTCATTTCTCTGTCATTCAGTACCATAGCCAGCCAGTTGGATTAAAAAAAAAGCTACATTAAAAAAAATTACGTAAATCTTTATTGTGATATTACATGCATTATAATTCAGTTTAATTGATTGAAAATTGATTGAAGAAAATGAAAGTATCTAGGTTATACAAGTAAAGTCCTAAGTAGCCTGTATTTACCTACAGTAATATACGTTCCATTGGACAAAAATGAATACATTTTTATTTTTTTTAAGTCAGTTAATTTTTAGGTCACCTGAGCTTTAGCTCAAGTGACCTATTGCTATCCGTCTTCGTCCTTCGTCCGTCGTCCGTTAACATTTTACATTTCAAACTTAAAGTCAAGTTCTGCTGGGCCGATTGAACTGAAAATTGGTAGGAATGATCGACTCATGGTCCTGACAAAGTGTTGTTATTTTTCGGGTCAATCAGAAATCCAATATGGCCACCACGACCACCATTTTGAAAAACTATTTCAAACTTGAAGTCAAGTTCTGCTAGGCCGATTGAACTGAAACTTTGTAGGCTTGATCAGCTCATGGTCCTGACAAAGTGTTGTTATTTTTTTCGGGTCGATCAGAAATCCAATATGGCTAACATTATACTTAACTATTTTTTACTCAAATTGGTACATATTTCAACAACAAAAATAAATACTGTAGGACTCAGGTGACCGTTAAGGCCCATGGGCCTCTTGTTATTTAACTTATTGAATCTTTTTTAGAAATCATCAGTATGTTCCAATCATGAAAAAAAGAAGAAGTCTAATAATATAAAAAAAAACACCTGATATTTTACAATTTAAAAAAGATAAAATACATGCATATTATAAAATGCATTGGGGACAAATATTAGTCATAATACTACAGTTATCACAAAAAAATCTGTATGCATGGGGGAAAAGTACAATTTTACAAGACTAGAGAAAAACGTATAATGTTACAATATGAAGAAAAGTCAAGTTGTTAACACTACGACCACAGAAGTATGATCACACTACGACCACAGAAGTATGATCACGGGAGAAAACATCAGAATACCAATTACATTATAGCCATGGCACATATCTCTTTTAAAATATCTTCGGAAATTTTTGGTGTGAGGATATAATTTTCAAAATTACAAGAATTGAATCCTAAAAAGTCCTTTTTCTCTGAGATGATGTAAATGATAAGGAAATTATATTTTGTGAACCGCCTGGCTGGCTGTGGCTGTGATACAAATGGACAGCAACACATACCCTGCAGCTTGTAGAATGCTATACTTATAGATCCTGGTCATGTGACCTTGACTGTCACGTCACGTTGCTATATATATATACCCCGTATGTATACATACATNGGGGAATCAAGCTATAATTGGTGCACAGTGCACATTAAATTGTCACATTTATCTCACAAAATATTATTGTAATCAATTAATTTTTATGTAAAATTTGCTTGGTATATATTCATTTTACATGTGTTTGTCTTTTATAAATAATAGAAACAATTAAGACACAGACATGGGTGGCATGTATACAGATGTATACAGAGAAATATTTAAAAATAAAAAATCGGTTGATAATTTAGATTTGAACAAGAAATCATCTGGGTAATAGAGCTATTTAATAAATGAAGATTATGTGTACAAGAGTAGATATGTAGTTGTCTCCCCTCTTCATTCTACAAAGTTCTGTTCCCGTATTCTTTTCCTTATTTAGAAAGATGTAGTTATCTCCCCTTAAGAGATTTCTAAATTTCCTTTCCTTTGAATACGGAATAAAGTACAAATTTCTTTTTAAAAACTTTAATTTCCCAAATTTTCTTTCCTTTGAATAAGAATATCAATAGATCTAGCATAGTGATTGTTTGAAATATTTTTTTACACATATAGATATTGATTGCAGTAAAATACTGTTATAATTTGGTTAGGGCTTATTTTAGTCATTTTGTACATGTATGTCGTTGTTTACATTTTTATTCACATAGAGCCAAACCTGTGGCTATAAGAACTATAACTGTTTGTTCATTTCTGGGTGTTTTTTTTCAAAAGAAGCAAACCTATTAACATGAGGCCATTTGCTATAGTTTCCTGGCAGCATAGAACAGAACCTAAGTAAATCCTGTTACCTCTCCGTACTATAGGGAGAAGGCTGCATGCATTCATCACTGGTACATGTAGTTATGCTTGGCTGATAAAACAGTGGTAGTACATGTACTGTTAATTTTAATTTAATTAACAACAAGATTTATAGAAACTTGAATATAGTTTAAATAAACGTGTGTTAATAAGATTAGTGTTCTAACAGGGGAAAACTTCGTACAGTTACACACAGGTTTCTATAAGTCTAGACCCTCTGGTTTTCAAAATTAATATATGTAAAATAACATCAGTAAAATACATACGTTGTCATTCACAATATGGGTTTAAAACTCAAAAACCTCTACAATTTAAAAAAAAAAAGATATACTGTATCTAATTTCTTGATTAATTACAGTGAGACAGAAACATAAATTAAGTGAGAACCAAATGTGTTTTTGTAAGACCAAGGACAAGATTTAGTAGAACATTAATATTTACTTTAAAGATAATTCATTTCATGGTAATGGCGTAAAAAAGAATTTTCTATTGTTGAAATTACTGATGTTCCGTATTATGATTATCTTAATTATTAAAAGTGAAGCTTAATTAAGGAGATATGCTACCTGACCCATCATATCTGTGATGTCGTATTAGAGTAATCCCCCTTTATTTTTTAAAACTTAATTCAGAATTAATGCTTAGATTTATTACATGGTATGAAACCCAGTACAGTCACAAATATTTTCCGAGATGTGTGGTAATACCATTAAAAGCATTTCAATGTTTATTATATACAGTCCGGCGTTACTCCGACCCCGGAGCATACAGTCGATTGTAAAAGCCTTAAAAGGCTTGTGTTGCCATGGTTATAAATGTACCGACTATAAATAAAGATTTACTTGCTGGAGTGTTTATCTTTTGGTAAAACTTTATCAAAACCTTGCCTTATGGACATTCTGTTACATTCGACTTAGACATATTTCTGTATTTTCAAACTCCTATCGGCTTAAATTTAATCACACACTGTACTGCAATCTTTCCAAATGATCTTGTTCCCTTTATGTCTGAAGACAGCATTTTTGCATTGATTTCCATGTTAGTGATTTTTCGTGTTATTGAACCAAAGAAAATCAGTCAGTTTTTCATCAAAGTTGTATTTTCATTGAAACGTTTTCTTTGGAAAGCAAGTGACACGAGATAAATAAGGTTTCTACATTGATACAGTTAGCTACAGGATCTTTTCACAAAAATGTTCAATTTTTCGGATTTCAACATCAAATGTAAACTGACTTTACGGTAAATGAGATGCATGATTTTATTGCAGGTTTCAACATTCTTGCAAACTCATTAATGCTTTTTTTACATTAACAGAAATGATTTGCCTTTTCAGGGTTTCTTCTATTCAATTTTATCACATTTAAGAATTTATCAAGATTATGTGGTCCATTCAATTATCATTTATAAATCTTACTTTATTATTAAAGACTCAATATATTCTTACTAAAGTTGTTTTATAATTGTATTAATTAAAGTTAATTGTAAATGATTTATTTCATTTTAATTTATATCAATAATTTGACAAATGTTATATAATATCATGCTACTGTCTCATGGTACCTGTGATAAAGCCTATAGCCAGTATATGGAATGGGGTTAAATTGGGTTCTGACTTATTTCTGAATTTGATCTTTCATCTATGTTGTATTCAGGAATAATTTATCTGTAATAGTCTGTAAAATAAAAGAAAAAAGAACTGGGCTCATTATCACAGGTAATATAATGTTATATATGAAATAGAAAAATCCAACAATATTCTGATTTGTTATAATAATCATGCAGTCTTTGAAGGCCATTTTTACCTGAAGCCATCTAATGAGTTTGCTACCTGTTTCAGGGAGAGGGAATAAATCAGGGTAACGGAAGTACCGTCATCTCTACCCCGCCCCACTCCTCAGAGGCCCCAGGGACTAACAGGCATGCGTAGTACACACAGACTGACCAACGTCCAGTTCTGACTTTTTCGCCAGTTATTCCATGGACTGACCATATATTCTCTCATCATGTTCATGTTTGACTGACCTCATTAACATAATTTAATTATTATGGTTGCCTAGTAACCAATCTCATGTTGACATATTTATTCTGTTTCGTTCTAACAACTGTTCCCTTGGTTACCTGACATACACCCCATTCCACTGTAATAACCGTGTGAGTTGCTGTGGAAATCAAACCTTTTTTCCTACCTGTTGACGGCTTGCTTACGTACCCTGGTTCAATTCCTGAACCATGAAATTGATTTGTGTGGCATCTATCTTCTAAAACATTGCCCCTGTATAATCTTCAAAAACATCATAGTTTCATGAATCTTTCATAAAACTGTGATTAACATATAAATGTATGAAACACCCAACTTTTGGCTGAAGAGTCATGATATTTGGTTGAAATGAGCAAGTCTGTTTTAACCCCTCCCGACCCTTCCATGGCCGCTAGCCTGCCCGTTTGCTTTGCTGTGATCATTGTGTGTTATAAGAGAATTTTTTGTTTCCATAGTGACCAGATGATGTTGTGATCACTTGACTGTACGTCTCGATGCCGTGAAGACATCGTAACCATGGCAACTTACAAAGGGGAACAAGTCCAACTGCTATCACATGACAATATTCCAGTGTATTTCTTTAGTATGTCCCTAATACTGTGTCAATTCTCTAGTTCAGGAAGTTAGCGTTACTTCTCAACTTAAAGGTCTTCGGAGTCATAGGAGGTTTGTGTTATCGTCTTAAAAGGTCCTCAAAATGACAAAGTACCAGTCAGCAGTGTTTTCCAGCTTGAAGGTCCCCAATAATGACAGGAAGTTAGCATTGTTTTCCAGCTTGAAGGTCCCCAATAATGACAGGAAGTTAGCATTGTTTTCAAGCTGAAAGAAGTGACCTCAAAAAGACTATAAGTAAGCATTATTTTCAAGCTGAAAGAAGGTACCTCAAAATGACACAGTGACAGATAGTAAGCATTCTTTCGCAGCTATTGCTACAGTCACTGGTTTAAAGAACAAGAGATAAAAACTTAATGAATCAGGATGATAGATATTGAATTGAAGAGTTCCTTAAAGTAGACCCCATCAACAGCCTGTCTCAAGAAAGGTTTGTGAGTGACACTTTCGACACACCCTATCCGTAGTGATTGCTGAGAAGTATGCGACCGATTCCTGAAGTAGAGAATGCCCTGGATTGCTAACCATTGTTTGTACTAATAATGTGTTTTACCCTAGATTACAACATAACCCAGTGTACATCCCTATAAGTACTGCGCTCATTCGGATTGCAATTATGCAGTATCCATGGAGCTTTATCTCGCCGAGTGTCTATGTTAAAACGTTTTTTCCCCCTATAATTTATGCTGTAAAATTGTGATGAATAATTTGTGACAGGAAGTTAGCATTGTTTTCGTAGTTTAATTGTATATATAAACATTGTAGTTTAACTTGTTAATATCATGTCTATCAAAATTGTGAAAAGCAATTTGATCTGATATAAAGTGTAATGTGCATTTTAAAAGGCAGTTTTAATTTGATGATGTGAATAAGACATAAAAACCTCGATCAGATTCAAGTGGGAATGTTTATCTAAAGGGCAATCTGATTGGTAGATATTGTATCTTAATTTGGTCCAATTGCTTTTCACGTAAACACTTTGAATGAAACTGAGTGTACTTTGACTTTTGCAATATATGTTTTTTTCATATTTTTTTTCATTGATGCATGACTTGCATCAGATTATGTATGTATTAAGGTCATTAATTTATTGTCCATGCTTAGTTTTTCTGAAAATTAGAGAGAAAAATAATGTGCTTTACCATCAGCTATAGACAAAATTCTGCCACAAAAATGAGCATGCTGTAACTGGAGTGGTACTAGAGACCATCTTAGTCACACAGACATGCTGTAACTGGAGTGGTACAAGTGACCATCTTAGTCACACAGACATGCTTTAACTGGAGTGGTACTAGAGACCATCTTAGTCACACAGACATGCTGTAACTGGAGTGGTACTAGGGACAATCTTAGTCACACAGGTGTTTGTCCTCAGTATCAATTGACCTATATGCTATCATTAAGAGTAGAATTACTTTTGTTTCCTGTTTTGGATTGTTTAATGTTTTGGTATGGCTTACAGACCCTGAAACCATCGGAAATCATAAATCATGAATTTGACATTGAAACTTGAAATGATAAATTTGAGCATTTCTGATTGGTCAGTGAAATATGTGATCTTCAAATAGTAGTATAAAAAAGTCCAGTCTTCCCATCAAAAGAAAATAATACTGTTAACATGATATTGCTGATAATATCAGCCAGGTCATATTGCTTCTCCAGACTTTCGAAACAGTTTCTGCCTGGAGAGGTTTGAAGGGATGATCTGCACTTCTCAGATGTAATTTCAAGGTACAGTGTTATTTACATGTATATAACATCCTTCAAACTTAAGATATTTCACCAGCTTCTATAAGCGAACAGTCCATCCCCTTAAAACGCCTTTTATAAGGGGCTCCCAAAGGATATTTTTCGTTCTCCATACATAGTTATTCATAGCTGCAGTTATGGCCGTTGGGCCTTGTGATATGTACATAGAATCGTAGGACCACCATTGTAGAATTGATAGTGTTGTTTTATATGTTACAAGTAACCCGGAGTGTCTTATGTTTTATACGTAGTCATCTGTTACAAGGTGTGACAAATGTACAAGTCGTCTTATTTAGAGAGAAAAAAGACATTTGTGTAAATAACAAAAAAAATCATCCACCGACATCTTGATTTTTAATTCAGTCGTTTTTTTATTGGCTGGTTGTTGATATTGTCTGATTGTCCTGAACTGAACTCATTGCCTATATTTGATAATTGGACAATCATGGATATAAGAAAAAAAATCCCAATAATGTTTTTTTATTGTCATCAATTACTTAATGAATGTATATATATAGAATTTTGTTTTGACTGTCTCCAGAAATATCAATTCCGTCCAAGTTTATGAAGAGGATAATATTCTTAATTATTATAGGGACCTTATTTTGCATTCCTTATACCGAGTCGAACTAACATTCCTCTATTAAATCTGAAATATAGAATTTTGTTTAGAATTGTCTCCAGAAACTATTACGCCGTCCATATTTATGAAGAGGATGATGTTCTTATTTATTATAGGGACTTTCTATTGAATTGTCTCCAATATTAATTTGTACACATTTTTACCATTAAGAAAATACTCTCAATTTTTACAGGGAGATAACTCTACATTCCGTTTCGAGTCGTAACAAACATTTTTCCAAATTTTAAATTTTGTTTTGAATTGTCTACAATATTAATTCCGTCCATGTTTACCATAAAGAATAATATTCTTCATTATTACAGGGAGATAACTCTATATTCCATACTGAACTATAACCAACATGAAATATCGACTTTATGGTGGTTTTTTTTTAAATTACTCGCAGTATTAAACCTTATCACAGCTCTCAGAAATTTTGTTGAAAAAAACCAAATGATTTCAGTGTCATTTATGGATGTTTTAGAGCGTACTGAATCAGTATTTGTTAAGTTCAGTGGACTGTGAAACCAGCTTTTCTACTTTATTTTTATTATCTTCAGCAATTAAAACTTTGCAGACCTGACTACTTAATTAGTCCCAATACATCTCACCAACGAGTAGAGTCTCTTAGTTCATAGTACTACAGTAGGTGTAGTGTTCTTTCAAGTTTGTAAATTAGTTTAAAATATCCGATTCCTTTTTCCTTATGTATAACGTGTTAATAGCATTTAAATTACAACTTTTTTTTAGACTTTTTTGAATTTCTTACAAGACAGGGCAATGAACATGTATTTATTTATACTGTTGTAAAATATTTAAGATATGTTACTTAGAAGAAACAAAAATATACATGTATGCATTGATAAATTATTTACATACATTTAGGTGGTGCATGTATGCATTGATAAATTATTTACATACATTTAGGTGGTGCATGTATGCGAGATTAACCGTTTTTTAACAATGAGTTATTGGATTGGAAATCATGAAATAAAACTCATACAATTTATTTTTTATTTTTTGTATTGAGCATGCAGTTGGTACTGTAGAAAATACCAGAAAGGTCAATGATCGATGTAAAGCAAAATTAAAGAAATTGAAATGTTTTTTCTTGATACAGAATACTTTCCAATTCTTTTCTGGTCTATTAGAAAGGGTATATGTTTTTTTTAAAAGTATTTAAGGTTTGAACTTTTTAGCGTTTGTAAGTTTTGTTATGTTCTTTGTAATGCATAAAGATAATTGACTTGAGGAATGTAGTTCAATATAGCTATTCAAATATATATATATATATACTACGTTTACACACATTGTATGGTTCTGAAATTCTGGAAATGAATAAATGAGGCGAGATATGTATTGTGTTTGTCATTACTTTGACTATTTGTACATTTAAGAAACAAGTGCTCTCTAGCGTTTAACTAGAACATTGACAGGTAAGCAATGACCCTGCATGGACTATGATAAGTAACAACATTGACATGTCAGCAATGACCCTGCATGGACTATGATAAGTAACAACATTGACAGGTCAGCAATGACCCTGCATGGTCTATGATAAGTAACAACACTGACAGGTCATCAATGACCCTGCATGGTCTATGATAAGTACCAACATTGACAGGTCAGCAATGCCCCTGCATGGTCTATGATAAGTAACACTGACAGGTCAGCAATGACCCTGCATGGTCTATTATAAGTAACAACATTGACAGGTCAGCAATGGCCCTGCATGGTCTATTATAAGTAACAACATTGACAGGCCAGCAATGACCCTGTATGGTCTATGATAAGTAACAACATTGACAGGCCACTAATGACCCTGCATGGTCTATGATAAGTAACATTGACAGATCAGTAATGACCCTGTATGGTCTATGATAAGTAACAACATTGACAGGTAAGCAATGACCCTGTATGGTCTATGATAAGTAACAACATTGACAGGCCAGCAATGACCCTGTATGGTCTATGATAAGTAGCAACATTGACAGGTCAGCAATGACCCTGCATGGATGATGGTAAGTAACAACATTGACAGGTCAGCAATGACCCTGCATGGATGATGATAAGTAACAACATTGACAGGTCAGCAATGACCCTGCATGGATGATGATAAGTAACAACATTGACAGGTCAGCAATGACCCTGCATGGTCTATGATAAGTAACATTGACAGATCAGTAATGACCCTGTATGGTCTATGATAAGTAACAACATTGACAGGTCAGCAATGACCCTGCATGGTCTATGATAGGTAACAACATTGACCGGTCAGCAATGACCCTGCATGGTCTATTATAAGTAACAACACTGACAGGTCGGCAATGACCCTGTATGGTCTATGATAAGTAGCAACATTGACAGGCCACTAATGACCCTGCATGCAGCAATGACCCTGCATGGACTATGATAAGTAACAACATTGACAGGTAAGCAATGACCCTGTATGGTCTATTATAAGTAACAACATTGACAGGTCAGTAATGACCCTGCATGGTCTATGATAAGTAACAACATTGACAGGCCACTAATGACCCTGCATGGTCTATGATAAGTAACA